TGTTATTGGTGACCTAATACATACAGATAGTGTTTGTTACCGTACATACTGGTATACTGTTATTGGTGACCTAATACATACAGATAGTGTTTGTTACCGTACATACTGTTATTGGTGACCTAATACATACACATAGTGTTTGTTACCTGTACAAGATGTTGAAGAGTTTGAACTCGCCACTGATACAGCTGAAATCCATTATTTTCTCCAGAAGTTCCAACAGAAGTCGTGAGAAGTTGGAGTCAAAATTTTTGATGGTCCTCTCAAAGTTCTCGCTGGCTCCCATCAGGTCGACATGCTCTGACACCACCTGTGAGGATATAAAATGAGGACTACATCAGCTTAGTTGTGTTGTAAATGATGTTGCAGTTCTACCACACTCCACAGAACATTGATATAGTGGCTACATGTTAAGCAGGCCTTATAGGTGAGGTGATGTTAGCTGTCGTGTACGTATCTGGATGTACGAGTACATAATGAGGCATTAAAACAGACTAATGTGAGTGTAATGTGTACAACAATGTACAACATAACATACACTCAACACTGAAATTTCATAAGTTGACAACAGGAACATTTTACTTGTCTCATATTATCTTAATGTTCTGTAAAAAATTTCAACAATTATTTTTTAATGTTATTTCAACAAATACATGACAGGTTAATTAATCAAACATTTTTTCTGCATAGAAATGTTAATTTCTTGTCAATATATCCATGTGAAATTGACATGTCCAGAATAAATGGACAGTAAAATTGTTTTATTATTGAGAGTCCTGCACACACAATGATAATGAATCTTGTCAACATATCAATATGAAATTTACATGTCAAGAACAAATGGTAAGTAAAATATTTCTTATATTAAAGCCCTGCACACAATGATACTTAATGAATATCAACCTATGTAGTTGAAATGAAACTTCATGAAGTTGTTTTTCAATGATGACATGACAAACTAGTGATAATGATCCAATGATATGATAATGAACCGTGATAATGAAAGCTCCGGTGATTACTTTACAATGCAGGAATAACAGTGTTAGTCACAACTTCTGTTAAGTTATTTGTTAGAATGAGTGTTAGAATGATATTACGATACAACCTCTCTAAACCCTTACTTCTGGGACGGAAATATTTGTCTGGATTACATTAGGTCACGTTTATACAGTCAGTGACTGATGATATTTTTTTTTACAAAAAGCGAACATTTTTACCTTTTCACCCTTGAACTATAGAATAAATTCAAATCTAGGCGATATACATATAAAACTATCAGAATATGGGCAAATTTTGTTTAAAAAAAAACAAGCAGGCAAAGATTGGGTGGAGAGAATATATTACCATTCAGAGTGAGGTAAGTACTTTGTTCTATTAAATCTTCCTTATAAGTTTTAGCACTTCACAGAATATAACAGGAAATTATCATCATTTTAGTTTTGGAAGTTGAACTAAAGAAGAGGCCTATGATTGGGATTCACATGTATACAGTTTTAAAACAGTTGAGGATGACAACTTGGTAGAGTGAAACAAATTATTGTTTACATTAAACACGACACAGGTTTTGGTTAGTAATGCAAGTTCCATGCAAACAATCTAAGTGATTAAACCAACTATATGTATATTTTATTTCTAAGTTATTATGCTATTGCTGGATTTATCTTATTATTGACTTGTTAATTTGATAGGTCTGAACACCAGTTAAATGTGAAATTGTTTCAGTAAGTTACTTCATCAGTCTATATCAAGTGGGAGAATCTCCTCTGTTACCTGTGTGGACCACACAGTTGTGTCAGTAAGTTACCTGTGTTGACCACACAGTTGTTTCAGTAAGTTACTTCATCAGTCTATATCAAGTGGGAGAATCTCCTCTGTTGCCTGTATTGACCACACAGTTGTGTCAGTAAGTTACCACATCAGTCTATATCAAGTGGGGGAATCTCCTCTGTTGCCTGTGTGGACCACACAGTTGTGTCAGTAAGTTACTTCATCAGTCTATATCAAGTGGCAGAATCTCCTCTGTTACCTGTGTTGACCACACAGTTGTTTCAGGAAGTTACTACATCAGTCTATATCAAGTGGGGGAATCTCCTCTGTTCCCTGTGTTGACCACACAGTTGTTTCAGTAAGTTACCTGTGTTGACCACACAGTTGTGTCAGTAAGTTACTACATCAGACTATATCAAGTGGGGGAATCTCCTCTGTTACCTGTGTGGACCACACAGTTGTGTCATTAAGTTACTACATCAGTCTATATCAAGTGGGAGAATCTCCTCTGTTACCTGTATTGACCACACAGTTGTGTCAGTAAGTTACCACATCAGTCTATATCAAGTGGGGGAATCTCCTCTGTTACCTGTGTTGACCACACAGTTGTGTCAGTAAGTTACTACAGCAGTCTATATCAAGTGGGAGAATCTCCTCTGTTACCTGTATTGACCACACAGTTGCGTCAGTAAGTTACCACATCAGTCTATATCAAGTGGGAGAATCTCCTCTGTTACCTGTGGACCACACTTACCAACACAGGGGTGACCACACAGTTGTGTCAGTAAGTTACCTGTGTGGACCACACAGTTGTGTCAGTAAGTTACTTCCTCAGTCTATATCAAGTGGGGGAATCTCCTCTGTTTCCTGTGTAGGCCACACAGTTGTGTCAGTAAGTTACCTGTGTTGTCCACACAGTTGTGTCAGTAAGTTACCTGTGTTGTCCACACAGTTGTGTCAGTAAGTTACCTGTGTGGACCACACAGTTGTGTAAGTAAGTTACCTGTGTGGACCACACAGTTGTGTCAGTAAGTTACTTCCTCAGTCTATATCAAGTGGGGGAATCTCCTCTGTTTCCTGTGTAGGCCACACAGTTGTGTCAGTAAGTTACCTGTGTTGACCACACACTTGTGTCAGTAAGTTTCCTGTGTTGACCACACAGTTGTGTCAGTAAGTTACCTGTGTTGACCACCCAGTTGTGTCAGTAAGTTACCTGTGTTGACCACACAGTTGTTTGAGTAAGTTACTGCATCAGACTCTATCAAGTGGGAGAATCTCCTCTGTTACCTGTGTGGACCACACAGTTGTGTCAGTAAGTTACTTCATCAGTCTATATCAAGTGGCAGAATCTCCTCTGTTACCTGTGTTCACCACACAGTTGTGTCAGTAAGTTACTACATCAGACTATATCAAGTGGGGGAATCTCCTCTGTTACCTGTGTGGACCACACAGGTGATTCAGTAAGTTACTACATCAGTCTATATCAAGTGGGAGAAGCTCCTCTGTTACCTGTATTGACCACACAGTTGCGTCAGTAAGTTACCACATCAGTCTATATCAAGTGGGAGAATCTCCTCTGTTACCTGTGTGGACCACTCAGTTGTGTCAGTAAGTTACTACATCAGTCTATATCAAGTGGGAGAATCTCCTCTGTTACCTGTGGACCACACTTACCAACACAGGGGTGTTACGGCCAGATAGCTGGTAAAGAATTGCCGACATTTCATCAACATGTATTAAAAAAACTGGGATCAGAAATATCACAAGAGGTTATAGTCAACAGTGGTGAGGTTACATTTGTTATACATGCACCGTGATTTTACAGACAGTGCAAGCTGCTCTGACAACAACACATCTGAAGCATCCTCTGTTTGCATAATAAATACTGGGAACTATTTGCGCAGTTTAACTTTCACTGTTAACCAGTGAAGGACAAACATTTTCAACAGTGAATCAACAGAAGAAAGTCAAGTATTGCAGAGAAGAGACAGGTATTCTCCAGAGAGCATCACATGTCCCGGTCAGACAGCAACACATGTAGTAATGACCTACAATGTAGTTATGATAAGACAATCACCCCAAGTAGTATAACAACACCATTTTTGGAGATTGTGTATTAAGTTGTTCTGAACAAAATATTCCCTCAATGCTTCATAAAGGTAAAATGACGTAATTTAGGCAAAGGACATTCCTTCGACCAGAACTATAACATCAAAGAGTCAAGGAAATATTGAAATGTGGATGAATAACCAAGGCATTGGCAGGGGAAAGTAGTATGACTTTGAAAACCCGACCAGTGCAGATCCTTGTTCTATGATGTGACCTACCTTTGAACTGGCCTTCTGTTTGCTGGTGTCCTTCCTGCTCCTGGCCTGAAGACCCTGTAGGGAACTCTCCCGGGACGGAGCCTCCTCCATCTCTATTGTGGCACTCTGACTGAGACGCTAAAACCAACAGTGACCATTTGTTTTAAACAATAAATTTACACAAACTCAAGGAATAAGAAATAAAATCTATCATTTAATGGTTGTACACACTTATTGAAAATGAAACTAGGTAACAATTGATCACTGAAATAAATAACACTGTATTAGCTAAACCAAGGTCTACATATTGTCATTAACATAGGACTTGACTTGACCATAAGTCAGTAAATAAAAATACTAAAGGTCACACAAGGTCATGACCTCCTGACCTTGAATCATGATGTAACTGTAGCAAGTAATAGGTCACAACAGGTCATGACCTTGTGACCTTGATTCAGTATGTAACAATAGTTAATAGTCACGCCGGGTCATGACCTTGAGTCAATTATATACCTGTATGAAGTTGGAGAAGGTCACGCACACCATCATTAGTTTGTGGACGATCTTGAGGAGGTCTGGGTTGGTGAGCATACAGTCCTTAAGACAGTTGTTGAGGAAGTCTGTGTGGTAGTTTAGCACGTCGTCAACATTAGATACCTAGCCACGAAAAATCAGTAATGTGAAATAAATGTCTCTCATCTTAACAGCCGATCAGAGTACCTTGTGAATAATACCTGGTAGTCAAATTGTAATTCAAAATAAAGGCAATCAGGGAAAAAAAGCAGTGTCTTTAATACATTGAATGTACATGATTAGTCCTAACTCAATATAAGAGTCATTTTCCTGAAAACAATATCAGATGCGAGTTTAAGAAACTCCATACTTCATTATAATGACTTGTGTTTATTATACATCATTGGAACCAAAGTGAACTCTTTAGAATAGCTCTGATCACCCAGGTCTATCAGTTTAACATGGCTTGGTTTAAGTAATTAATACTGACATAGCAAGGCCAAATACAAATATATGTGTGTTTCCTGTTTCGGCTCCCAAAAAAATAGGGTAGGTAGGTGGGAAAAACATAAAAAACATTCTGGTGAGGAAAAATCTCCTGATTACCTCCATGAAGGTTAAAAATATTTTATTGTTTTAATAAAGTATGAAAAATAAATACACAAATGCATTTCCAGTTTTTGTGGTGAGCAGGCTCGAACGACATTTTGAAGTAAATTATTTTGTCACCCACCTAAATGTTTATGGAATAACCAACCGTAATTTACAGTAGTGCTGCAACCAGTGTTACAGTTCTAAATTATACCTACAGCTGGACACTAGTTTTTAGTAATCCAGACTCCACTGATGGTAACCAGTGTTAGTTCTAAATTATCACTACAGCTGGACACTAGTTCTTAGTAACCCAGACTCCACTGATGGTCACCAGTGTTACAGTTCTAAATTATCCCTACAGCTGGACACTAGTTCTTAGTAATCCAGACTCCACTGATGGTAACCAGTGTTAGTTCTAAATTATACCTACAGCTGGACACTAGTTTTTAGTAATCCAGACTCCACTGATGGTCACCAGTGTTACAGTTCTAAATTATCACTACAGCTGGACACTAGTTTTTAGTAATCCTGTCTCCACTGATGGTCACCAGTGTTACAGTTCTAAATTATACCTACAGCTGGACACTAGTTTTTAGTAATCCAGACTCCACTGATGGTCACCAGTGTTACATTTCTAAATTATCACTACAGCTGGACACTAGTTTTTAGTAATCCAGACTCCACTGATGGTCGCCAGTGTTACAGTTCTAAATTATCCCTACAGCTGGACACTAGTTCTTAGTAATCCAGACTCCACTGATGGTCACCAGTGTTACATTTCTAAATTATCACTACAGCTGGACACTAGTTTTTAGTAATCCAAACTCCACTGATGGTCAACTGTGTAACATTCTCTTTTGCATTAAGCCTACGTACTGATCAAATGTGAACTCCTGCTACATTCCCTAAGCCTACATACTGATCAAATGTTAACCCCTGCTACATTCCCTAAGCATACATACTGATCAAATGTAAACCCCTGCTACATTCCCCAAGCATACGTACTGATCAAATGTTAACCCCTGCTCCATTCCCTAAGCATACATACTGATCAAATGATAACCCCTGCTACATTCCCCAAGCATACGTACTGATCAAATGTTAACCTCTGCTACATTCCCCAGGCCTACGTACTGATCAAATGTTAACCACTGCTACATTCCCCAAGCTTACGTACTGACCAAATGTTAACCTCTGCTACATTCCCCAAGCTTACGAACTGATCAAATGTTAACCTCTGCTACATGCCCCAAGCTTACGTACTGATCAAATGTTAACCACTGCTACATTCCCCAAGCTTACGAACTGATCAAATGTTAACCTCTGCTACATTCCCCAAGCTTACGTACTGACCAAATGTTAACCTCTGCTACATTCCCCAAGCTTACGAACTGATCAAATGTTAACCTCTGCTACATTCCCCAAGCTTACGAACTGATCAAATGTTAACCTCTGCTACATGCCCCAAGCTTACGTACTGATCAAATGTTAACCCCTGCTATATTCCCCAAGCCTACATACTGATCGAATGTTAACCCCTGCTACATTCCCCAGGCATACATACTGATCAAATGTTAACCCCTGCTACATTCCCCAAGCCTACGTACTGATCAAATGTTAACCTCTGCTACATTCCCCAAGCTTACGTACTGATCAAATGTTAACCTCTGCTACATTCCCCAAGCCTACGTACTGATCAAATGTTAACCCCTGTAACATTCCCCAAGCCTACGTACTGATCAAATGTTAACCCCTGCTACATTCCCCAGGCATACATACTGATCAAATGTTAACCCCTGTTACATTTCCCAAGCCTACATACTGATCAAATGTTAACCCCTGTAACATTCCCCAAGCCTACATACTGATCAAATGTTAACCCCTGCTACATTCCCCAGGCATACATACTGATCAAATGTTAACCCCTGCTACATTCCCTAAGCATACATACTGATCAAATGTTAACCCCTGTTACATTCCCCAAGCCTACGTACCGATTCCATGTTGGTTTGGAAGATATGCCAGTTGTGTTCGACGACCTCAAACATCATGTAGTACTCAAAGTTCTGTACAAAGTTGAGCATGCGTTGTCGCAAGGCAAAGGCTGCAGAGTACCAGCGAGCAGAGTGGAGTGAATACATCTTTGCTGCCTTATTCCCGATCCACACACTGTCAAACACAAACCACACGGTTACATGTTTACACGTCCAACATTAACTAATACAATGAATGTAGCACACCTATTACTTACAGCTGTTTGAATATATATGGATAATATAAACATTTGTATGATACAATAATTTATTGAAGGAGCTTAGACCTTAAATTGTATGATCACCATATATACCGATGCAATATATATATATATATATATCATTGATTAATGAAGAAAACATGCAAAGGGACTTTTTTTAATCTTTGGCAATTGAAAAGTTGATATACATGTCAGCTTAGACATTATTCATAACTTTGTTATTTCTACAGTTATTTCACACACTATTGTACATAGCTAGCTTAGATATGTCATCACTAAGGAGGGTAAGAAAATAGAATCAACTATTAATTAGTTATTGGATCTGATATCATCTACAATAAGTTAAATAAAACAAAGAAATAAAACAAGATGTACAGTTGTAAGTGGCAGTAGCCATGAAGGTATGTTACATATTTCATCACAGGTAGATCATTTCACGAAAGTCCTGCCCAGGTTTCCATACAAGGATTCAAGCTGAGGTAACATTGCTAATATAGAGAAAGAGGATAAATGGTTTACTGTGAAATAACAGAACTTTCAGACTATTATTATGTTATGTAACCTAAATGGTCTGATGCTCAGAGACCTAGTCTTTATACACAGGAATCTCCTAAAGTAGTAAAATCATTGTTCACAGATACTTCCAACATATTTACTCAATATCATGTCACTAAATTTACAGTGATCTGTCTCTTTGGCCCTTAGGATAATCTGATTTATTGTGGGGGAACAACTGTTCATGTCTCCCTCCAAAGTCCAAACATGATACTAAGGACCAGGTAAAAAGGTATATGGGATAATATTTATGGGATAATATTTTTTTTCTATTCAGCCAATTATTAGGTAATGTTTTCTAAGAAGAAAGTTTAGTTTTAATAAATTGTATGATTGAACAAATTCTACATTACAGAAGATTCCTTAGTGAGCACCAAGCTGAGCGATACGAGTGAGCATTATAGGGTAGAGAAACAGATGTATGCAGGCTACATTAGGTATAATGTCTGTTATACAGGAGGATCAGAGTACTCAGTACAATATAATCTATACTCACAGCTTTGTAATCTGTTGTATTCTACACAACAGTAACCAGCCATCACACACTGTATAATTACTGCTGTATTCAATCCTTACTGCATTGACTATGATCAATAGACTTTTGTTCACTATGGCACTGCCACTACATGACCATACCAAGCTCACATGCATTCATATCTGATATGAATGCAATAGCCCATTTACTGATGTAATTATCATGATATTACAATTGTAGCATTTGATACCACTGACCCACCCTTGAATTTTTCTAGAAACAAGCATAGATGATACATGCATTGATTTGAACTAAAAGTTTATTTTTTTACAAAGCAATTGAGTTTTCTATGAGAATCAAATGTTGCTTTTAAGAAATGGTATATAGAAGTATTAAACAACTATCAGATGGCATGCATAGTCCAAATGAATGTCAACTTGAAGGTGACAAATTCATCATTAAGTTCTGGCATGTTTCATTGCACATGTCATGTTCCAGTTGGCATTCATATCAACTATAAATGCCAACTGAAAGCCATATACCTGCGGGTAATGCTGAACAACATGTAACTAGGTCGCAGGACAACAACCATTAAAGTTTGAAACATTGCTTTTTTTCAAATGTTTGTTGATATCAAATAGAAAAGTTGTAGTTACTTGTTCTGAATGTTACTGTTTATGGTGTGCCCTATTATCTGTGATGTAGGGTGTGTCCTGTTATCTGTGATGTAGGGTGTGTCCTGTTATCTGTGATGTAGGACGTGCCCTGTTATCTGTGATGTAGGGCGTGTCCCGTTATCTGTGATGTAGGGTATGTCCTGTTATCTGTGATGTAGGGCGTGTCCCGTTATCTGTGATGTAGGGTATGTCCTGTTATCTGTGATGTAGGGTGTATCCTGTTATCTGTGATGTAGGGTGTGTCCTGTTATCTGTGATGTAGGGTGTGTCCTGTTATCTGTGATGTAGGGTGTGTCCTGTTATCTGTGATGTAGGGTGTGTCCTGTTATCTGTGATGTAGGGTGTGTCCTGTTATCTGTGATGTAGGGTGTGTCCTGTTATCTGTGATGTAGGGTGTGTCCTGTTATCTGTGATGTAGGGTGTGTCCTGTTATCTGTGATGTAGGGTGTGTCCTGTTATCTGTGATGTAGGGTGTGTCCTGTTATCTGTGATGTAGGGTGTGTCCTGTTATCTGTGATGTAGGGTGTGTCCTGTTATCTGTGATGTAGGGTGTGTCCTGTTATCTGTGATGTAGGGTGTGTCCTGTTATCTGTGATGTAGGGTGTGTCCTGTTATCTGTGATGTAGGGTGTGTCCTGTTATCTGTGATGTAGGGTGTGTCCTGTTATCTGTGATGTAGGGTGTGTCCTGTTATCTGTGATGTAGGGTGTGTCCTGTTATCTGTGATGTAGGGTGTGTCCTGTTATCTGTGATGTAGGGTGTGTCCTGTTATCTGTGATGTAGGGTGTGTCCTGTTATCTGTGATGTAGGGTGTGTCCTGTTATCTGTGATGTAGGGTGTGTCCTGTTATCTGTGATGTAGGGTGTGTCCTGTTATCTGTGATGTAGGGTATGTCCTGCTATCTGTGATGAAGGGTGTGTCCTGTTATCTGTGATGTAGGGTGTGTCCTGTTATCTGTGATGTAGGGTGTGCCCTGTTATCTGTGATGTAGGGTGTGCCCTGTTATCTGTGATGTAGGGTGTGCCCTGTTATCTGTGATGTAGGGTGTGCCCTGTTATCTGTGAAGTAGGGTGTGTCCTGTTATCTGTGATGTAGAGTGTGTCCTGTTGTCTGTTATGTAGGGTGTGTCCTGTTATCTGATGTAGGGTGTGTCCTAGGCCTGTTATCTGTGATGTAGGGTATGTCCTGCTATCTGTGATGAAGGGTTTGTCCTGTTATCTGTGATGTAGGGTGTGTCATGTTATCTGTGATGTAGGGTGTGTCCTGTTATCTGTGATGTAGAGTGTGTCCTGTTGTCTGTGATGTAGGGTGTGTCCTGTTATCTGATGTAGGGTGTGTCCTAGGCCTATTATCTGTGATGTAGGGTATGTCCTGTTATCTGTGATGTAGGGTGTGCCCTGTTATCTGTGATGTAGTTTGTGCCCCATTATCTGTGATGTAGGGTGTGTCCTGTTATCTGTGATGTAGGGTATGTCCTGTTATCTGTGATGTAAGGTGTGCCCTATTATCTGTGATGTAGGGTGTGTCCTGTTATCTGATGTAGGGTGTCTGTGATGTAGGGTATGTCCTGTTATCTGTGATGTAGGGTGTTTCCTGTTATCTGTGATGTAGGGTGTGTCCTTTTATCTGATGTAGGGTGTGTCCTAGGCCTTTTATCTGTGATGTAGGGTATGTCCTGTTATCTGTGATGTAGGGTGTGCCCTGTTATCTGTGATGTAGGACGTGCCCTGTTATCTGTGATGTAGGGTGTATCCTGTTATCTGTGATGTAGGATGTGTCCTGTTATCTGTGATGTAGGGTGTGTCCTGTTATCTGTGATGTAGGGTGTGTCCTATTATCCGTGATGTAGGGTGTGTCCTGTTATCTGTGGTGTAGGGTGTGTCCTGTTATCTGTGATGTGGGTGTGTCCTGTTATCTGTGATGTAGGGTGTGCCCTATTATCTGATTACCCTACAGAACTCACTGATGCAAGGAGCTTTTCTTCTCCTGGGCTTATCCTAATCGAACACTCTAGAACTGCTCACACGCTTATTGACTTATACTCTATTTACAACAGTTCTGACAATTTGATCATGCTTAATATTTTTTCTATTACAATTTCTATTCCTTAAGAGAAAGAACAACTACCTTAGAGTTTTGCTTGTTTGAGCACGTTTGAAACATTTAATTTTATGTTTACTATCCCTTATTTCTGTTCCTTTAACCATCTCTTGCATTGGAAATATTGTAATACTACAATTCATTCATTCACATTTACTACATTGTGTATGGTACTTTTATATAATCTATAATCATACTGAAATTATTTAGCACTTATTTTATTATGCACCAATCAAAAATGGCTAAACCTTTTCACCCTACCAGACTGTAACTCTTAGCAACTTGATGTCACATTTATTCTTTATTGTTCTAGTCACATGACCTTTACTGTCATTGTACCATAGTTGCAAACATCATGTAACTGTACTCTGAAGACGGCCTCCCTTTGGTCGAAATATGTCAACACTTAGGATGTAAATCTAAATTACATTTTGTACCGGATTCAGTGGTGTTGTTGCTCATCATTTCTATTTTCATTTGCTCTGCTTTCCCTGATGAGCACTGTTGAATACCATTAAGGTATCCACCCCAGGATCCCTACCGCCACTATTTACACAGAGGTATATGACTGGTTGTGGAAGTTACAGCGTGGAATACCACTTTTAGCAGAATTTACACAGAGGAATATGACTGGTTGTGGAGTTAACATGGAAGAATATGACTTGTTGCGGAGATTACATGGAGGAGTGTGACATGTCACAGTGTTTACATGGAGGAGTGTGACATGTCAGTGTTTACATAGAGGAGTGTGACATGTCAGAGTGTTTACATGGAGGAGTGTGACATGTCAGTGTTTACATGGAGGAGTGTGACATGTCACAGTGTTTACATAAGGAATTTGACTTGCCAATTAATGCGAAAGGAGTACCAAAACTTTCTCAGAGTTTACATAGAGGAACATGAGTAGTCTCTTTTGACAGGGCTCTGTGTGTGCTCTTGTGATAGAGTGCTGTGTCTACACTTTTGATAGGGCACTATGTCTACACATTTGATAGGGTGTTGTGTCTACACATTTGATAGGGTGCTGTGTCTACACATTTGATAGGGTGCTGTGTCTACACATTTGATAGGGTGCTGTGTCTACACATTTGATAGGGTGCTGTGTTTGATCTTTTGATGCAGTGCTGTGTCTACATATTTGATAGGGTGCTGTGTCTACACATATGATAGGGTGTTGTGTCTACACATTTGATAGGGTGCTGTGTCTACACATTTGATAGGGTGCTATGTTTGATCTTTTGATGCTGTGTCTAGGTGTCACATCTAATGATACACACATATTGAAAATTAAGTGTGATCTCACCTGCACAGTTGTCTTTCCACATGCTTGCAGTAAAACAGGTGACGAAACAACATCTGGTACCTGGTTAGGGCCTGAAAAATAAAGAATATATGGTAAAGTCTTAAAACTAGACTACACAGTCAAGGCAAAAATTAAATACAGAATACAAATGCATGGTCAGGTCATGAGAAATAGAAAATATTGGTCAAGACCTTTAAATATAGAATATCTTGTCACGGGTTGTGTAAAATCAACTACACCATCAGGGCTCGAAAGAATTATGGTCATCATCTTGAACGATAACGCTGATCTTGAGCATCAAATAACGAGTACCTACCTTTCTATTGACAACCAGAGAAACTGGCCATTTAACAACATAGTCAAATGAGAAGGACTCGAGTCCAGACAGGTGTAGGTCTGTTGGGTCCACTCTGTAATCTGTAGCACAAAGCCAGTTCTACGTTATAACATGTAACACGAAAAATGGACGAAATGTCATTGCGAGTTTAGGGTTCTATTTTCAGAGACAAATCACTTAGTACCAATTTTTTTTTGAAAATGAACGAACATGGGTAGTCTTTGATAAGAATCAAGAAACATTCCAGATAAAAGATCTGATTTTTTAAATATCACTGAAAAACTGTCAAAATTGTACCAATTGTGGTAGCATGACATAAGTACATTGATGATTGTATTATTTCATATACAAGTGTTGTGTTCTACAGTATAACAACCATACAGAGTTTAAGATGTGTGATAATCTATGAACGCTCTCATCAATCATTTTGATCAAGACCTCATTATATTAAAAGAATCATTGTTGATTAATCAACAAAACACAAACACACATCATATAACAGGAATCATTGTTGATTAATCAACAAAACATTGACACACAGAACCTGTTCCTGTACCAGACGAGAGCTTACCTTTCTCTAGCTTGGTGTCTATGGTGAGGATCTTGAACAGCTGAGTGATCAGGTCAAAAGGCAGCAGTTCCACTCTGTAAATCAGTTAAAGGTTAAACATCATATTTAAATCGAGTAAATTGCCATAATTTTAAGTCAACCTGGATATAATGTCTCTCTTTTCAACTGTTACCTTGCTTACTGCCAACATATTTCAAGGTCCTGTTTTCCTTAAGTACTAAATTCCTTTACATGTATCTCAAGATATATCATCAAACTACTTCTATTATGCCAAAATATCTCCCCACAAATGGTGGCAGCATAATTGGGTTAGCTGTGTATCAGTATTGACACTTTTCACTTTTCACTATCTAGACTTCAGTAAAACAGCTGGTTACATACCTGAGGTCATCCTTGAAGGGGTCTACGTTGGCAGTGCTGGTCCGAAGAGCAAGCTCCAGTAATGTCTCCAGACGCGTCGGCATGATCTTGTCTATGTCCTGTTTCATCTCATCCTCTGTCATATCCATAAACTGGACAATGAAGTCTCCCTTGTCCAACAGGAAGTAGTGCTTCATAGATCTGACAAACAATAGGCAGTGCCATAGGTTAAACATTTTTCTGTTAATTATGGACAATTACGGGTCAATTTATGAGGTTAAAACAGTTCAGATGCCAGTAATTTCAAACAAACTTTGCAATTATTTACAAAAGCCTTGGTAACATATATACAGACCATAGGGTGCAACACTGACTGTTAACGACAGAAATCTGGTGCAGCCAGCTCACAGCTCATTGTTACAGAGAGCATTAACAGAGCGGCAAAGTAGGACATGTCAAAATGCAACATACCTATATCAAACGGAAAATAATTTCAAATGCAAGATACCTGTCCTCTATCAAATAAATAAAAACAAGAGTACCGCAGGGCGGAACAATATACGCCCGTCGAATGCCATATAGTGTGTTATTACTCCCATAACATGAGAGGCCGCTGGTCGGCCTTTTTTCAATCGGATATGATTTTGCCGACTGCGACCTCTCATTTCCGAAGCACTAATTCTTTGATGCAGTTTCCGCCCAAAATCCGGGCGGAACAAAATCGACTTGAAAAACTCACATAAGTGGTTAACAGTTCATGACAACGATGTCTACTCACGATTTATATAATATAGATCTCATATATATGTCACAGACACAAATATATAGTATATTACGGAATAGAACACTCAAAATACATGTCCATGTCGTTGTAGCACATCTCTGACCTACATTTAAAACATGGCTTCTGGATTAATACAAAATATCAGGGGGGATTTCAAACGGAACGAAATGATACGGAGTTTGTTTGTATTCCGCTTGTGAAACATTACATGTAATCCATTTTTGTATTAACCGGAAAAAGCATGGCAAATGCTGTCTGCTTCGCTTCGAATGAGGAAAAACTCATTATTTATGTCTTTGACATGATTTTTTTCTCATATAATCATGGATTTATGGAAAGGAATATTTATTGGGACCCTTTTGACCATTTAAATGTACGTAAACACGATATACTCTTTCTTAATCCGAACTTTGACAATGTGATAGTCAGCATCGGGAAAATCAGCTATGGGCAGTTAGAGGTTACGCGGCGCCTGTCAAAAGTTTTTCGCCGTGTAAAACCTCTAACATTGTTGGAGTAAGTGTGTTATATACTTTCTTACATTGAAATAAGATCTGCATCATTCTAAGAACGGTTAGCTGACATTCTATAAACAAGAGATCCCAGAGGGATCTTGGTGCCCACCTTTGTACCATCTTCATTAGTTCTTTGTCAGTTTGATCTTTTCTCTTCTTTCCTCTAATCTGTTTGATCGAGTCATGTTAACAGTAAATGCACCTTGAGGTAACTTTTGATCTAAACTTAACACTGATGTGTATGAAAGCCAACCTTCAAAGTGAGTTTGTCATTTCACATATTTACTAGTACAGTACTTAATGTGAAAGAAACAGAATCGATCAATGCAATATGAGAAAGATCTGTTTAGTTCTTCTTTTAATCGATTTTGTTTTTATGATCAGTCTCAACATATAACATGCACAACGAGAGATCAAGGGAAACCAACATATATAATTTGAGAAAGATCCCTCTGGTACTTCCCGAGAAATAGCGATAACAAACTTTCACTATCAAAATGCAAGATGGCTGCCTGTCGGCCATGTTGTTTATCCGATCAGTCTCAAAAGTTGCCCTGCACAGCTTAGGACCAAGGGGAACCTACATATAAAATTTAAGAAAGATCCCTCTAGTTCTTCTTGAGAAATAGCGATAACAAACTTTCACTATCAAAATCCAAGATGGCTGCCTGTTGGCCATGTTGTTTATCCGATCAGTCTCAAAAGTTTCCCTGCACATCTAAGGACCAAGGGGAACCTACATATAAAATTTGAGAAAGATCCCGATGGTACTTCTTCAGAAATAGCGATAACAAACTTTCACTATCAAAATCCAAGATGGCTGCCTGTCGGCCATGTTGTTTATCTGATCAGTCTCAAAAGTAAACATGCACAGCTAAGGACCAAGGGGAACCTACATATAAAAGATCCCTCTGGTACTTCTTGAGAAATAGCTATAACAAACTTTCACTATCAAAATGCAAGATGGCTGCCTGTCGGCCATGTTGTTTATCCGATCAGTCTCAAAAGTTGCCCTGCACAGCTTAGGACCAAGGGGAACCTACATATAAAATTTAAGAAAGATGCCTCTGGTACTTCTCGAGAAATACCGATAACAAGAATTGTTTAAGGACGGACGGCGGAAGGCGGATGACGGACGAATGACGGACCACAGACGCAGGGTGATTTGAATAGCCCACCATCAGATGGGCTAAAAATGTAGAAGAAAATCTCCGGACAAAAAATCAAATAATGAAATGAATAAAGGGCAATGACTTTTGCAAAAATCGTCGAATCAAAATTCTGTAAAGGGAGACACAACTTCATATCATGATTATAATGTATACCAAGTCTCAAGAAGATCCGTTGAAAAATGTAGGAGAAGATTGCCGGACAAATATCAAATACTGAAATAAACAAATGGCAATAACTTTTGCAAAAATTGTTGAATCAAAATTCTTTTCAAGGAAACACAACAACATATCATGATTATTTAGCCTACCAAGTTTCAAAGAAATTCGTCAAAATATGTAGGAGGAGATCTCCGGACAAAAAATCAAATACCGAAATGAACAAAGGGCAATAACTTTTGGAAAAATTGTCGAATCAAAATTCTTTTAAGGAACACACAACTTCATATCATGATTATAATGTATACCAAGTTTCAAAGAGATCGGTTGAAAAATGTAGGAGGAGATTGCCGGACAGACAAAAGTTTATGCCAGCCATAAATTATATTCAATATTATAAGGTAGTATTGGTATAAACAAACCGCTCCCTATAAGATGTGACGACCAGAAGCAAGGAGCTGTCACTGACCTGATTCTGGCCATCAGTTGTTTCTCCTCCATCAGGAGCTCGAGGAGGACTTTACTGGCGTAGTTGTAGGCACCCTCAATTTGCTCAGTGTATCGACGATCCTTCAGAGTGTACACTATCTCCTCCGCAATGGGACACTTTATATCCCGCCCTATTGTAAAGAAAACAACAATGATTTTCAGACTATCTTATCTGACACCTCCTTGTTATTACAGTAAGGTTATAACAATGCTTTAAAATATTAAAAATTAATCATGTATAAATCTCCTAATATAGCACAGAAATAACTATTAAATGATTGTGTTCTGCCTTCCTACATTCTCAGTGAAAATCTCTTACCTTTTTATGTAAAACAGTGACCACTACCTTCTCAAATATACACAAGTACTGATAATCTAAAGCCTGAATACAAGTTTAATACATTCGCATCCATTTACCAAGTTTACTTTAGGGTTAAGTTTATGTAGGAACTGAAAACAGTATCCCTTGCTTTCACGAAATGGAAATTGTAACTCACCACACAGGCGTATAACGTTGAGATATTTGCCCGTATTTAGGATCTTGTCAGCGACCTGTTCCAGGAAGACAGGGATGCGTTCCCTACAGATGGTGTAGTGTTGCTCCCAGTACGCATCGTTGTAGTCCTCCTGGAGCTTCTCCTTCTGAATTGTCTCATTCTCCTCCACCAGGAACTAACACACAACAAGTATCTCTTATTGGACTGGACAAGGTAACCAGGAACTAACACACAAAACAGGTATCTCTTATTGTACTGGACAAGGTAACCAGGAACTAACACACAAAACAGGTACCTCTTATTGTACTGGACAAGGTAACCAGGAACTAACACACAAAACAGGTA